AAGGAGCATGCTAGATATTTAAAGGCCCGAGGAGCTAGGTCCCTTTGCAGGAAGTTTACCTTTTAGGTTTCATGAAAGAAATATGTATGACAAAGGAATATTTAATCATTTATTGAATTTAGATTAATATTTATTTTCCCCTATACAAAAACATAAAATATAAGTTGTCTAACAGAAAATAACGGACACTTCTTGTTGATTAATATTATTATAATCTACATTGACTGGAAATCCGTTTATTTTCCTTATAGATCATATAGTCGCCAGAAGGTCTTTCTTATCAGAAAAAGGATTCATTCTGTCATCTGAATGTATCAGTATGATATATTTCATATTCTTCATTTTGGTCTGTATTTTACTTTTCTTTTGCCTGACATTATTTCTGGGCCATCCTTTATCAGGAACCTACTTAGGTACGTCCATGTATGCTTACTTACAGTACATGAACATATGTTCAAGGATGATGGTAAGAGTGATGACAGCGGTAGTAATAATGGTAAATCATCATCGTTATCATTATTATTATCATTATTATCATTATGACTATCATTATTATTGTTGTTACGTTATCATTATCTATTTACTACCATTATTACAACTGTCATTATATCATTATGCTAGCAATGATAACAATTTAAATAACAACAGTAGAAGGCCACCTTATCAAAGAGGGCTCCGATGACGCCGTCCCAGTGGCCACTGGCGTCCGGAGATCCCCAAAACTCGAACTCCCTGAGCGAGATGGTGAAATTGAGCACCTGCTGGAGCTCCTTCAGGATGGCGGCCGAATAGCCTCGTAAGTCTGTCCCTCGGCCTTGTTCGTCTTTGAGCTCCAACACACGTGGTTTCTAACGTGTAAGAGGTAGATGTCATTGCTTTAACAAAGGTTCGGTTTTTATGTACGATTAAAATGTTGACTGTTTATACTCCTTCCATCTCAGGAAAGGGAAGACTTGGGAACTCATCCTAGACTATATGGAGGACCCCGATCTGCCAAGTCTCTTTCAAGAAAAAAAAAAATACATTGACGTAAAACATTAAAGATATATTTGTTTCACTATATATACCACACATGTAAACGTATGCGTCTGCTGATTAGAATGAAAAAAGAGACTTGGCTAATCGGAGTAGTCCAAAGACTGGAATTATATTCCAGAGTTCGGACACACAATAGAAATTAATCGGCATTGTTGAAAAGTGTTTCTGTCAAATTTCTACATAAAATGTATCTATTCGAAACTAAACATCACTATAGATTACATTGTTGATATTATGGCGATCAGTGTGATTGTGCAGGAGTATCGGCAATGGAAAAGGACTCACGTTAATGACTCCAATTAGAAGGTTTCGGCCCTTCAGGTCCATCGAGATAGGGGGGAAAAGGTCCTTCCTGACTTCCAGACCGCCTCGTTCTGTCCACCTGGGTAGGGAAGAGCACAACGGCAGATTAGCCAGTTATATATATATATATATATATAATATATATATATATATTATATAATATATATATATATATATATGGTAATTTTCTATATTACGTCCGTATAACCGATATCGACGATTTTGGTGTTGTTGGATTCCTCTCACTTTATACAATGCAAACATGGTCCCGATAGCGGGGGCGACGATGTAGGAGCGGCGTACGTAATATATAAAATTACCCTAATAATATAACCTCACAGTGAAAATAACCATGGTTATTCACATGACTTTCCATTGCAGGGGGCTTGCCCCCTGCGACCCCCCTGGGGGCTGCCGCCCCCAACCCCCGCCGAGGAAACAAAACCTCCACCACGTATTCACGGCAGGATAGAGCGCACACGAACTAGATGCGGAGCCGATAACCTACAATAACCTAGGATTTTTAAGGTACTAACCTGATTGATTAATGCCGCTAATTAGTAGGGAGGGTGCTCCTTTGCCGCAGAATGTGAAGGAGGCAGGGTGCGTCCGGCAGGTAGGTCCAGGCGTGCTGGCTGCCCGCACCTGCCGCAGGCTTTCTCCCGACGGAGGAGGTCGTGGCGGAAGCACATCTCTAGCATTTTTTCCTGGCTAGTTGCAATTTCGCGCAGAAAATCCGTCTCCGAATACGAGCACCCTCCACACTCGGCCATCGCGGCGGCTATGACTGACTTCTGAACGCGACGGTTATTTCGGTTAGGAATACGAATGTCGTTATTCCAGAGGAAGGGAAACTCGACCTTGAGGCCATCGGTGTAACATCGAAAGAGGCGCAAAACCCGCCGACGAGGGCGGGCCAACCTGTTCATCCTGATTATACTACAATCGTCTCTATATACAATGCTGACTATAATAAGGTTAATATGCTGATTCAGTGAGAATCTTACGAGGTAATTGTAATACGTCCGCCGCTCCGACATCGACGATGATTGTGTAACGCTCTAGCCTGCCGGGAATACGTGGTGGAGGTTTTGTTTCCTCGGCGGGGGTTGGGGCGGCAGCCCCCCAGGGGGTCGCAGGGGGCACAGCCCCCTGCAAT